TAATTTCCGATTAGAAGATTTCTTTTTAATCACATTTTGTTATTATCAGTCAACTAAAAGGTACAAAAGGTGCTCAAAGCAATCTGCCGCTATTATTAAAGTGGGGAACTCTGCTTCGGGGGGGGGGGGGACAAGCCACGAAGGCCACAGGGCAGGGGGAAGAGGGTTCAGCAAAAGGCGAAAACACTTTGATGAGGAAGCCAATCACAGAATTGTAGAGATGGAAGGGACCACGACAGTCATTTAGTCCAAGCCCTTGCAATGCAGTCATAACTTTAAGCTACACTGTCATTGCACTTGCCGTTTTAGATTTGATGATGTTATTAATGTTATTCTTATCACCATCATCAACAACAACAACTGCTCATTAACTATTATATTTATATCTTTCCCCTCCTCCCAAAGCAGCGCAGGGAAGCAAACAACAAGAGATAAAACTGTAAAACACACACACACACAAACATTTAAAATAATTCCAACCCAGGTGAAGACTGGGGAAAGATCTTTTGAGTTACAGAGCCAGCAGCTTAAGAGCCAGTCTACATTTTAGAGCTTATCACACCAGCGCTGCAAAAACGGGAGGTTTCTGGGAGAGATGCTCCAAGCACAACTTTTTTCAAGTTCCTGATACAATGATGTCAACACAGTGGAAGCCTTCCTGTTTCTGTCTATAGTGGCTCCTGGCAAGGATACTCACAATAGTCTGGTTTGCATGACACAGAAAGCCAAACGATGGCTTACTGGGAGAATGCAAGCATCCAGGCTCCGGGAGAGCAACTCACAGCCAATTTTCTCCTCCCTGGCCCTTTTTTATTGTAACTCGCTCTACGTGGGGCTGCCCTTGAGACTGACCCAGAAACTCCAGCGGGTGCAGAATGCCGTGGTGAGACTCCTTACGGGGTCCTTGCTGCGGGATCACATTCACCCAGTGCTATACCAGCTGCACTGGCTCCCGGTGGAGTACAGGATCAGGTTTAAGGTGCTGGTTTTAAACTTTAAAGCCCTATAAGGCCTGGGACCCTCGTACCTACGAGACCGCCTCTCCTGGTATGTCCCACGGAGGACCTTATGGTCTTCAAACAGAAACATCTTGGAGGTCCCGGGCCACAGAAAGGTTAGGCTGGCTTCAACCAGAGCCAGGGTTTTTTTGGCTGTGGCCCTGATCCGGTGGAACACTCTGTCACAAGAGACTAGGGCCCTGCGGGTCTTGACATCTTTTCGCAGGGCCTGCAAGACAGAGTTGTTCCACCAGGCCTTTGGCCCAGGCACAGCCTGACCCCCTCCTTTGGTAATTCTTCACAGAACTCTAGCCCAATGGTTGCCATCAATTTGATTTGAACTGATTTTATAATGAATTGATTTTAGAATGCTGTATTATTTTACTGTTGTTAGCCGCTCTGAGCCCAGCTTCAGCTGGGGAGGGCAGGATATAAATAAAATTTTATTATTTTATTTATTATTATTATTGTTTATTATTATTATTATTATTATTATTATTATTATTATTATTTTGTTCCTGGGCTACACTGAGCTCTCTCCCCAATAACCATGACCTGTATCCTTTCTTACTGGTTGTGGTTACAAGGGAGAAGTTTAACCACAAGTCCTGGTTTGGACAGCACACAAAGCCAGACTTGGGCTGAGCTGAGAGCCCAGGAGGACCGGGAACTGCAGACGGCTGTGAGGCCCTCTCAGAACCTGTAAGTTCATGAAGTCCCAGCAAGGAATACTTTTGTTTATTGTGCTGTGCGAACCAGGCCAATGTGATGATGGCTCACTGTGTGGATAAGGGCTGATAAAACAACTATTACTACAGAGGAAAGCTTGTGTGCTCACCACTGATATTCCTTTATTGACAGTATTCCCATGGTTAGATGCTGGCTCAAAGAAGCATTATCCTTGCAATAATACGTTGCTGTAGATAGTCACTTTGTATACAAACACTGGATATGTCTATGCAATGTTGCACATTTATGGAGTTTTGGGAGAAAGTACTAGATTATATAAATATTTCCATGGTACCGGGGTGGCGGGGGGGGGGGGGGAGAGCTAATACTGTCATAGGATAATATTCTTTTAAATTATGTACTGCCCATATGGAATTTGACAACTGGTCAACCTAAATGGATTCCTCATGCCCTCACTACAACTGAAAGACTTATATTGATCCATTGGAAGGATAAATCTATGTCCCCCTTTAATCAATGGGTAGAAGGGCACAGGTGGCGCTGTGGTCTAAACCACTGAGCCTCTTGGGCTTGGCAATCAGAAGGTTGGTGGTTAGAATCCCCGTGACGGGGTGATTTCCCGTTGCTCTGTCCCAGCTTCTGCCAGCCTCGCAGTTCGAAAGCACACCAGTGCAAGTAGATAAACAGGTACCACTGTGGTGGGAAGGTAAACGGTGTTTCCGTGCGCTCTGGTTTCCATCACGGTGTCCCGTTGCACCAGAAGTGGTTAGTCATGCTGGCCACATGACCTGGAAAGCTGTCTGTGGACAAACACCGGCTCCCTCGGCCTGAAAGCAAGATGAGCACCACAACCCCATAGTCACCTGTGACTGGACTTAACTGTCCAGGGGTCCTTTACCTTTTACAGTGGTGCCTCGCAAGACGAAATTAATTCGTTCCACGAGTTTTTTCGTCTTGCGATTTTTTTCGTCTTGCGAAGCACGGTGTCGGGAAAGTTTTGGAAAAGCTTCAAAAATCACCAAAGTCTTCAAAAACCTCAGAAAAGGGGGGTGCTTGGGAGGGAGGGAGAGGCGGGCGCGGGGTGTGGGGGGAGGCGGGGCGGAGGTTGCTGCCTGAGCCCCCGGGATCGGTTCGGCTCGCCTTGCTCCGACCCTTTGCACTACAGTCAGCGCCGTCTTGCTGCTGCTGCTGCTGTCGCCGCGGTAGTCAAAACTCCTACCGGCCTAAAAGTTGTCTGGTGCAAAATCCCTTCTGCAGCAGCAGCCCGAAAGAAAGCGAGAGCGAGAGCGCGAGCCAGCCAGCCGCCCCCCGCGGGCAGGAGGGAGGGAGGGAGCGTCGGCGACGGTGGATGCCTATTGCCCCTGCTGCTGCTGCAGCTGGCTAGCCAGCCAGAAGCGTGCGAGCGGAGAGGGGTGCATCCAGCCCGTTGGAGAGGAGCGCGGGGGCGCGTCCCCGGTGGCTCCCGAGCTGACCTTGCCTGGCCCGGCGCCTTCCGCGCTGCCAAAGGGCGACTCACCTGCTGCCTGCGCTGCGCCGGGACTAACTCGAGTGGGGCGAGGCGAACACACACTCGCGCGCACACACACCGAGAGGCAAACTTGCCGCAGCTGTCGACGTCGCGGGGTTGGAAAGCGCGGAGATGCAGGTAGGGGGCGCCCCTCGCCGGGCGCGCGCCGGCGGGCCCGGGCAGGCGCTCTTGTCACCGCCGGGGCGCTGGGGGGGGGGGAGAAGGAAGGAGCCCCGTCCGAAGAGCCCCGGAGCCTGGCCTCCCTAACTGGGAGTTGTGGGGAGGGAAGTGTGTGCGCCTTGCTATTTTTCGCCGAAACAAAGCTCCCTCTCCCTCAGAACCCGCCTTCACGCGTTCTTGCCCCTACGGAGACGCACACCGCGTGCTATGAGTTGCTCCTCGAAGTCAAGTCGCAACTGTATTAACGGTTTTAAGAAAAAGGAAACAAACTTGCAAGACGTTTCCGTCTTGCGAAGCAAGCCCATAGGGAAAATCGTCTTGCGAAGCAACTCAAAAATGGAAAACCCTTTCGTCTTGCGAGTTTTCCGTCTTGCGAGGCATTCGTCTTGCGAGGTAGCACTGTACTTTTACCTAGAAGGCACGACAGCTCTTACAAAATACAAACTTGTAGACACAGAGTGTATGGAGAGCTTGTAGACATAGATTGTGTATGGGCAAATATAATGATATTTGCAATGTCATAAATAAATAAATGTGTATTAGAATAATAATTTCATTTAAATACCTTTGCGTTAGACAAGAACGTATGGAATTATCGTGTTTTTCTTCTTCTTTGCATTTCTTATGCATTTTTTGCTTCTTTTTTTATTTGTTCACTTTATTTTAATTGAGATATTTTCAATGAAATGTAACTATGATTGTATGCTGGCTCTCTGGATGACTAGGACAACTCTCATATCCCTTTCATGCCAATCAAACCTTACTCAAAGATATCAGCACAGTGATGGGAAAGACAGCATCATCTATCATAAAGGTAAGAGAGACCTGCTGGACCAGGCCAGTGGCCCATCCACCCCAGGTTTCTTTTCCTACCATGACCAACCAGATGCCTATGGGATGTCCACAAGGTCGAACCTCAGTGCAACAGCAATTCCCAGCAGCTGGTGAACAGAGGCCTAATGCTCAGTGTGCAGTTTGATTCGGATGTGTTAAATACTCACGCTTCTCTTGAACATAGAGATAGCCTTCCATTGTCCACTGGCTTGGTGGCCTGTAGTCCTGGCTGGCAGACTTCATTCTCTGCATAAGCCGTTCCACTTCCTGCCTTGTGCTTTCAAAATTATTCCGGGTCTGTAAAACGACAACAACAACAGAAGTGATGAATTAAGCTCATGCCAATGCAATTTTGAGAGCGGCCTACCAAAATGGAACTGACGTCTGCTCTGAGGGAATTGCAGTAAAAGCAAGCCTTGTCAAATGCTGCTTTTACCACCCAGCCCTAACTCGGACAGCCGCTCCAGAAGGTTACCATGGTGTTGAAAGCCGCTGAAAGGTTGAGGAGACACATTCACGTCAAGCATCCTTTTCACGCATTCATTCGTTCGGGCACTGAACGAGAAGCTAAGAAGTAGTTCAGGTCTATTAGCAAAATACTGTCAACCCCGTGTAAGGAAGCTTCCCTATGATTTCTGTTCTTCTACCACACTGCTTGTATGAGTTTCCGAATTCCTTAAAAAGCGCAAAAAATATACAGGGTTCTGGACTGGAGAGGCGGTGTGCGAGGTTTGAAGAACACAACCCGTTTGTACGGATCCACTAACACCATGTGCACAACTCATTTTGCAGCAAGGTGCTCTAAACCAACCAACAAAAAGAGACAGATAAGAACAGATACTACACTTGATCTTAGCCCAAAGGCCAAGGTGGGATTGTCCGTTAGTTAATGAATTTTGGAAACAGATTGGTATAGAAATATCAGGAATTGTAGGTAGGAAGGTGGGAATATCTAAATTAATGGTTCATATTAGTCTGAGTAGCACTGAGTTAAAAACAAAAGAGGAATGTAAATGGGTAAAATTGATGGTAACGGCAGCCAGACAGGTTATAGCGAGTAATAGGAAAAATGCAGAAGAGCTAGGGGTGAACCAATGGAGGAAAAAACTAAATAATATCATAATTTTAGAATACCTAACTGTGAAGATACATAGAATGAAAGGGTTTAAGGTCAGTGAGAAAGAGGAGGATTGATTTGAGAGGATATTGAATTATTTGGGTAGGTTTGAACAATTGAGGACAATTAAAATGTTAAATGTTAAATAAACCATGTGGATGGAGGAGTGTTAACGTATATAAAATTGTACATATAGTTGATTTGAATATGTTATTATTGATTATGTATACCCAATGTATCAGCCGCCTGGGGGGTTTCACTATTTGTGTTTTGGTTGTTGGTAAAAAAAATAAAATTTTTAAACTTCGGGTAAATCTTTTGCTCCAAAGGAAATGGAATTTGTGTTCAGGCAGAGCAGGCTGCAATTCTACTGAGCTTACTTGCAGAGCTACCCAAAATTTTGTGCTATCTACATGGCCACTAAGGGACGCAGGTGGCGCTGTGGGTTAAACCACCGAACCTAGGACTTGCTGATCAGAAGGTCGGCAGTTCGAATCCCCGCGACGGGGTGAGCTCCCGTTGTTCGGTCCCAGCTCCTGCCAACCTAGCAGTTCGAAAGCACGTCAAAGTGCAAGTACATAAATAGGTACCACTCTGGCGGGAAGGTAAACGGCGTTTCCGTGCGCTGCTCTGATTCGCCAGAAGCAGCTTAGTCATGCTGGCCACATGACCTGGAAGCTGTATGCTGGCTCCCTCGGCCAATAAAGTGAGATGAGCGCCGCAACCCCAGAGTCGGCCACGATTGGACCTAATGGTCAGGGGTCCCTTTACCTTTACCTTACATGCCCACTAAAGAGTGGTCACACTAATTGAAGTTGCTTTGGCAATGTGTTCATTCAGGGGTGGATTGGAGGGAGCTGGGGATGCATGAAAGGGACATTGCAACTCCGAATGGTGTAGGAGGCCCTGTTTCCTCTTGCACCTGTCCATTGTACCAATCAGTGCTTGTCCAAAAGTGCAAAGGTCTTCCTACGACGCCCCTACTAGAAACAGTGGGGGGGGGGATCAAGCGGGAGGCTATTTAGAACTGCAGTCCGCTTTAACTCAACAGGGCTTATTTCTGAGTTGATGTGCATAGCCTTGAACACATTTCTAAGAGCCTATCATAGGCTACACTGGATAGTACTAGACCTGCCAAGGCTACAGGAGATGTCCAGGAATAAAAGGATTAAAGGATTGCAAGAGACTCAGATATTGTGAGAACACCTAATGCTTGTTGACTTGGGTATGGCAACAACAAAGACTTTCTGTTCCAGGAAGAACATGTAGTGGATTTGTCAAAAGCGTGGCAGATGCAGGAACGCGCACCAGAAATACAACGACAGGTTTTGTAACTAGCAGAAGTAAAATTTGCTTACCCCCAAGCACCCCTTTTCCTGTGCGGCAAAAATCCAACAGCAAGCACAGATACTTTCAGAAGTTCAACAGGGGCATGGAATCACCCTATCATGCAACTGAAGCTGGTGCATCTAATTGATGCACGCTCGTGGCTAGAAGCCCCCCTTGACTCAGAAACTGATTAAGTGGCTTAGCTAAAGAACTTATGGGCTCAGCGCATATTACGAACAGTTAAAATTGCCCTGCACCACTAGAGTAGCAACGACAAGAGTACAGAGAAGGAATGTGTTGCATGTCGTGAAGCAACAGTGACCCCTGGTGCTTAAAAAAAGTTAAGGGTTGAGTTACAATCTTAATCACATTGCTCTTAACGCGTTTCTCTCCTTCCCAACCTTCTTATTTGCCTCGGTTCTTTTTGGGAGGGAGATAGAGGTGGGGGGCGGCTCCCACAAGGGCCATATTCTGCTCCCCACATTTTCCTAATCCTTTGCCTCAAGTCGGCACTGCACCTCTCTGCAGAACCTGAAGGTTTGAGCGAACAACTCAGCAATTTCTGTTACCCACACAAGTCTTTTTTGTTTTAAAGCTGCTAATTGCTATCTTGGGCTCCTTGAAGGAAGGTAAATACAGACACACACACACACACACACACACACACACACACACACACACTTGCATTGATGAATTGGACTATGTCCAGTAGTTTTTAACGTTTGATCTTTATCAATATTTTCTCATGAATATTTCATATTGTTTTATGTAAACTACTTAGAGGTTTACGAGCCCCTTGTCCACATCCTCGAGCCTTACTAACTGAAACATAAATCTTGTCAAGTAAGTAAATAAATACATTTCCTACAGGTGGGCACTTTACTTCACTTATTAGGAGTTTATATGCCTTCAGGGAATTTATTTTAAAAGGAAAGAAACCACTCCTAACCAGCTATGTAATCTGGATGGAAGATGGCTTTTATTATCCAAATTTCTTCCATCTCTAACCGCCTACAGTATTGGATGTTAAGGGCGGAAGTTTAATTCTGTACTTTTCACAGAGGCTGGATTCGCAAAGAGGTTCTGCAGAGAGGTTCAGAAATTCTGACTGCAGGTCATTCCCTTTATCAACTGCTTGCTTCCAAAGATTTCTCCCTTTAAACTATTCTTAGTGGGGGAGCATTTCCAATTAACGGCATTATGTGAAGTGCTGGCAACATCAGCACCAGAGACTGGCATTGCTGGGCAGACCATGACAAGAGGAAGAGGAAGAAGATGCAACCTCCATTTGTTAACCAAACAGCATGGATTAGGACCACCGGGAAATGGCCAAAAGGCAAACCCACGTCAGATGTGCATGTATGTGTTTTCCACTGAAGACATTTTGCCCAAGCTGCCATCTCCTTAGATCTGGAGCCAAGATTTAGTGCTAGTCATCTGAAATCAGGGGCGGCAAACCTCTTTCATCATCCCAAGGCTCACGGTCCCTTCTGAACAGCCTTGCACCTCACCTGGGAAGGCATCCGAGGGCCTATGCTGTTGCTGGAAGGGGCCAGGAGCAAATTTCACCTCTGTACAGTGGGCTACATTCTAAACACACTCATACACCTTTCTCTATTCTCCATCCTGACACATCGGACATCAGGCACACTGAGCGACAAGTGCTCAGGGTGCAATGTAGGGTTGTGAGGGATGTGGTCTGGGGAGAGGGGTGTGGCACAGAGAAAATTCTGTGGGGCAGATTAAGAGAGGCCTGGGGGGCGGGCGGGCTGCATTTGATTCCTGAGTCCTGAGGTTTCCCAGCCCTGTCTAAAACGAAGCTCATTTTCTCTGCACCTTGCACTCTGTCTGAATCAGTGATTCAGCTTCGCACTCACTTTTTATTAATACAGTGGTACCTCAAGTTACAGATGCTTCAGGTTACAGACGCTTCAGGTTACAGACTCTGCTAACCCAGAAATATTACTTCGGGTTAAGAACTTTGCTTCAGGATGAGAACAGAAATTGTGCTCCGGCGGCGCGGCAGTAGCGGGAGGCCCCATTAGCTAAAGTGGTGCTTCAGGTTAAGAACAGTTTCAGGTTAAGAACGGACCTTCGGAACGAATTAAGTACTTAACCCGAGGTACCACTGTATTGTTATTTCAGCCCCCTGTTGAGCAGGACTGGGTGCATGATGCAATTCTACGGATAGCAATGGCTCCGGCTTTCGGGAGCACAAAGGGTGGCTGGATTTTTATTTTTAAACATTTTTTTGGCTGGGATGGGGCTTCTATGGCCTGCATAGCTCTTTCCTATTCCACATGTCTAGCAAAACAGCAAAATAGCTTCTTCTTTTCTTTGAAGAAAAGCAAGCTAAAGAAAGAAAAATATGCAAAATTTATTTGATTTTGATCATTTATAGGGCCATCAAAATTGGGCCTTGCTTGGCTCCAAAATTGGATGGGCTAAGCATAGAGTTGTCCTCCCCATTCAAAGTGGGGCTCAAACCCACGACCTTGAGATTAAGAGTCTCATGCTCTACCAACTGAGCTAGTGTGACCCTGCCTGTCTACCTCTGTGCACAGGGCAGGGTTTATACATCCTTTTGCTTAAGTCCGTTTAACGTACTGGACATCTCGAATTGGGTTGTTTATCTGAACTGGGGGCAGCGCAAGTTGTACTAATTCAAAGCGTAGAGACGTGAAATCGATAACTGGATTCCCCACCCAAGGCAGGCAGGTGAAAATCAGCGTGACTAAGCAATACAAATGAAGCGTATTGCATTTATGCATGAGCTCCCTTGATTTGTTTTCAAGAGATTTTAGCCTCGCAACAGAGCAAGGCTTTCGTTAACGCTGGAGTTCAGTGATCTGAGAAGCTGTGATAAACGCCGCTCCTCCTTACATTCTGCAAGTTGAACTGCAGCTGTTGCTTGTATGGTGCAAACTCCTGGGCCAGCTCATATCCCTCGTGGTAAAAGGTAAATAATCCCTGAAGAAAGGCCAAAAGCTGAAAGGGGAAGAAAAATGTACCATCCGTTATTAATTGTTTTCCTTATCTGCCCTTCACCAGAAGGTCCCAGGGCAAGTTACAGCATATAAAACACAATTAAAACAGTAAAAAAACACAAACCACCCACAATCCCAGAACAATAATTCCATGCAACGCATTACAGGGAGAATTCCCAAATCAGTAAATTTCAAGGGCCATGGAAAAGACATGCCTCTTCAGCAACCAACAGAAGCTGTAAAGAGACGGTGCCAGGAAGGCGTTACACATTCTTGGGGCCACCACCAAAAAGGCCCTCTCAAGAGCTGCTTGCTTCCCCGCAAAAACTCACAAGCGGCAGAAGGGTCTCCTCCACTGATCTTAATCAATCAACTCATCAAAAGGGAAGGAGGTGCTCTTTCAGATATTTGAGGTCCACATTGTTTGCAGCACGTGCACGCAAATGCACATATGAAGCAGGCATGCAACAGAGAACTCTTAGGATAGCTTTGGAGAGGGGAGAATTTACTTTCAATGGGAAGAGCATACGTTGTGGTTATTGTAATGTGCCAAGGGCGGTTTACAGCGCTGGTGAAGCCCCTTTCAGCCATTTTGCCAACTGCTTTTGATAATAATAATAATAATTTATTATTTGTACCCCGCCCATCTGGCTGGGTTTCCCCAGCCACTCTGGGTGGCTTCCAACAAAGATGAAAAATACACTAAAATGTCACGTATTAAAAACTTCCCTGAACTGCTGCAAAAGGATCAGGCAAGAGCTTACAACATGGGCGTAGCCAGGATTTATGGGGGTCTTTTGGAGGGGCATGGCAGGTTTCATGTTGGAGGGGGGAGAACCTGAGTTATTTTTCTTGATTTACTTGATTGGCTACACCCATGGTCTACAACCATAATGGGTCAAAAAAAGGAGTGGAAGATGGACTGGAGCAAAGGCACAAAGAGGAAAGACACAGGGGAGTTTGAAACAGGGACAGAAAAGGTGCAGAAGAGAAAGATGCACACAGCCAGGAGCCTGAGAGAAGAGTAGGTTTAAAAATGTGCATTTCGATTTAGAAGACATCTGAAGGCAGTCCTGCTTAGGGAAGTCTGTAATGTTTGCTGTTTTATTGTATTTTTTAAATTTTGTTGGAAGCTGCCCAGAGTGGCTGGGGAAACCCAGACAGATGGGTGGGGTATTTATTATTATTATTATTATTATTTTCAAAACTAACAGCAAACTCCGAGGGGGGGGGGGGAAGGCTGCCTTTAAATTTAGTTTTAACCAAATCTGGCCCAGGGATAATGTAGGTGATTGTATCTGGCAACCTATCAAGAGAACAAACTGCAAAAGAGATTTTGTTTACTTAGTTTGCTTTGCCATTTAAACAGAGGCCCGGTTTTTAATCTGCGGGCAAACCTGTCAAGTAAACCTTTCAGTCTTACTAATAATGCTCCAGGGCCAGCAGAAGGTCCAAAAAATGCAAACACCAAGCTTTCTGAATCTCCTGGTAGCCCATCTTGCTATTATACCCTCCAGGCACACCTGTTCACTATTCAAGTACTGTTGCCACCTTCAGATCAAAAACTGCTTTGTTATTACTATCATTAAAAAAACAAAACAAACCTGTTCTGTACTGAAGGAAAAGACTTACTGGCACTAGATGGCAGCAATGTCAAACTTAACATGAAGCATTCAATTCCCTGTACCGAAAGTTAATACGAGTTATTTGTTTGAGCAAGCAAGGTTTCCGGTGTCACAGCCCCAAACACATTTCGTTTTGTTTTTTCAGGAGAAGGGCTGGTGTATATGTCAACCTACCCATGTGGTCAGTGTGTACGATGCTCCAGCCATAATGCTCAGAGCTGCATATGTACTGCTTAGTATACCGGCTGGAGATAATCTACTGAGATGCGGAGATGCTCAGTGTGTGCTAAGAGGTTCAAAATATTTCTCAACACACGTGAAACATTTCAGCCTTCAAGTATTGTTAGCCCAGAAATGGAAACAAGAAGAAATTCCGACGAAAGAAGAATGGCAGACGAAATTAATGGACTATGCAGAATTGGACAAAATGACAGGAAGGATTCGAAACCTGCGGGACCAGAGATTTACAGAAGATTGGAAGAAGTATATGAATTATTTGAAGAGCAACTGTAATCAACAAATTACGCTAGTAGGACTACAAGAAGTTTTGTAAGGAGAAATATGTGAAGTGTTACAAAGTAGAAAAAGATAGAGATATTGGTTATGAGTTTGAAATGTAATAGGGAGATAAGAAATGCATACTGAGAGATTAGATTGGAAAATTTTCAGACAGGATTGATGGAAGTCAAAAATTTGAATAAGATGTAAAAGTATGTTTAATTACTGTTGAAAATGATATGTTAAAAAAAACTAATAAAAAATTATATATATAGAAGCAAAAGAAAAAAGAAAAAAAGAAGAAAAAAGGAACATTTCAGCCTTCACTAGTATTCAGTCTCAGATTTCCAGAGGCTCTCGGGCAGCAGGAATGTCATTGAATATGGCAGTTTCCTTCCACCTCAGCTTGAAAGGGGTTTTTGGAGAAAGGGAGCTTTAGAATTCCTGTTCAAAATGCAAATGGGGCAGACAAACAACTGCAATTGTCTCTGCTGCATCTAGTTTGACCCTCAAGGCCCCCACTTTTAGCCTGAAAGATGGAAGGTGTGAAAACTGAGAATTCTCTCTAGGTCCGCAGACTTCACTGAGTGCGCCTGTGCAAAGTGTGAATGGCCTTCACCATTGATTCACCCGAAGGAGGCACCTGGAAGAGAAGGAACCCAGGGAGGATGCAAAACACTGTATTTGAGGACCCAAAGTTCCACTTCATTTAATTCGGGAAAGGAAACACCAGTTCCAAGCGGTGTTTTGGACAGTAAAAGCAGGGGAGGCAAAGGTTTGCTTAAATGCAAACTGACTGGATCCTGCCCTGCGATCTCCTTGGCAAGGATGGGCAAGGTTAAAATACTTTCAAATAACTAAACAAACTCTTTCTCCCTGCTGTTTCTCAATTATTCTACCAATTATTCTTCCCACCCACTCCAAATTCCAGGACATGGGGCAAAGCCCCTGGGGAAGGCAATCTGAAGTTAGGCAAATAAATGGCAAGGAAAGTATTATTATTCCAGACCTAACTGCTCCTCTGGAAGTGGCTTTTCTGCTGCCATTTTTTTTTTAAAAGGGCCAACAGGGGGTAATGTTACCTGATATGCATAAGATCAGTTGTGGCCCTGAGAGAGATTTTTATTGGTAGCTTTGTTTTAAATGCAGCTGTTTTTAATTAGTGCTTTAAGTCAGATCTGGCCAGACTTCTACAGGCTGCATTCAGACACAACAATAAACAATGGATAATTCTTATGGAATGAGCCCAGACAAGTCTTAGGCTAGCACAGTCCCCTCCTTGGTGCAGCTGCAAGGAGAGCAGAAACTTCTGTTTTGCTTCCATTTTGAATTAACCACAGTTTAGTGTGACATTTCCACCCTAAACTGCGCCTGGTTAGTCTTAACTCTGGTTTGCCAAAACAAGCCAACTTCAAACCTTGGTTTATGAAGCCAACGTGTTTCAATAAACTATAGTTTTATAGATTAACTAGATGCAGTTTACGGTTCGGATGTAACACTAAACTGTGTTTAATTAAAAATAAAAGCAAGATGCTTATACTCTCCTCGTCTTAGTGGAGAGAAGAGGGAGAAAGCATGCACGACTGAGGCTCACCTAGGCTTCCTGTAACAATCAAGCACAGATTCGTGTTTCGTCAAGACACAGTCATTGGGGTTGATGACAGCGTGGTCCTTCTGAATTCAGAATTGCCATTTTTCACCAATGCCTGGCTGGTGAATCTGTTTCCATTACTGCCCTTCAATGCCAGAGGAAGTTCCATTGAGCATAACCATGAGGGTAAGAGAGTCTGGGTTTAATTCAGAGTAATACTTAAGAGTAGATCCACTGAAACCAATGGGAATCAAATTACTCATGACTAAGTCCCATTGAGCTTAACAGGTCCACTTTAAGTAGGACCAACTCTGAATCCAATCCATTAATGTGTTATGCAGCTGTTTAAAATGCTTTTGCTCTGCAGAAAACAAACACTAAGCAAAATTCAGGGTCCATTATCCTTAAAGCAAAACCTTGGCCCATTTGATTGTTAGAAAACACCAATCTCTCTTTCTCTCCCCTCATCCCTATATTCCAGATCACCAACAAAATCAACTTAAGACTGGATAACCAAGGATCTTTCGAGCTATCTGTATTTTTAAAATAAATACATGAACCAGGAAGACAGTAACTTTTTGATGAATTAAAGGCTAGAGGTCAAATTCCTACCCTATCCAAACTGGAAGTACAATCTTCTTCCTGTGAGAATGAGATGACCAAAGAATCTCAGGGTCACCAACACTACATAAAAATAAATAAAGGACTTTTTTTTTGTTTTGCGGGCTTCAGATGTTGTCATTTTCCCTTGCTCCTCGTAGCTCAGCTGTTAACTCACCCTCGTGGCTAGGGTTGCGTTAAACTACCATAAGCTTTGATTTATTGCTCTGATTTATTT